TATTTATACATATATATATATATATATATATATATATATATATATGTATGTATATTCATATATTTATATTTATATATTTATATTATATATATAATATAGAAATAAATATACGTATAAATATATAAATATAAAAATATAAATATGTAAATATATAAGATATAAATATGTATATATACGTAAGTAATATAAAAAATATAAATAGTATATATAATATAGATAAAACAAATAAAAAATATAAACAAAAATAAAATACAAAATGAAAGACACAGAAATAAAATATTTATATTATTATAATTATCTGTATTCGTTAGTTTTTGTTTTTTCGTTTGTTTTTTTTTGTTTATTTGTTTATATTTAAATTTATTTAAATTTATTTATATTTATTTATGTTTATTTATTTATACTTATTTATATTTATTTATATTTATTTATATTTATTTATATTTGTTTATATTTATTTATATTTATTCATATTTATTTATATTCATCTATATTTATTTATATTCATCTATATTTATACTTATTTATATTTATTTATATTTATATTTATTTATATTTATATTTATTTATATTTATATTTATTTATATTAATTTATATTTATTTATATTTATTTATTTATTTATATTACCTTTAAGCCGCTGCTGACACCAGGGCCTTTGCCTAGCAGTTCTTGCTGCTGCATTTTCTGCGTTGTTTTGTGTTTTTTGTTTATTTAAAATAAAAAGAGAAGTTCTGTTGTTGTATTTTCTTTTTAATAAGTAACTCCATTTATTTCTTACACAACGAGAAGAGACAAAAGCAGCATCTGTGTTGCTGCTATCTGCTGCTGCTGCTGCAGTTGCTGCTGCAGTTGCTGCTGCTGTTGCTGCTGCTGTACCTGGTACTACTCCTCCTGTTGCTGCTGCTGCTGCTGTTGCTGCTGCTGCTGCAGTACTCTCCTGCTGCAGCAGCAAATCCTCATCACCACTCAGCTCCATAGACACCTGGTAATGTAAAAATTTAGGGGGAAGAGGCAGCATGTCTTCGTCTGGTTGCTGCTGCTGCTGCTGCTGCTGCTGCTGCTGCTGCATCATACCCGCTATATCGGGAATACTAGCAGCACCAAAGGCCCCCCCTAAAAACCAGCTGCTGTCTATCAGACCCTGGGGGCCCCATACAAAAGGAAACTCCTGCTGCTGCTGCTGCTGCTGCTGCTGCTGCTGCTGCTGCTGCTGCTGCTGGTGGTGGTTTTCCTTCCATGAGGCGATACAGCCCGTTTCGCTTACAGGAGACAGCTGCTGCTGCTGCTGCTGCTGCTGCTGTTGCTGTTGCTGCTGCTGCTGCTGCTGCTGCTGCTGTTCATCCTTCGGATATAACGAACTCGCAGCAACGCCACAGACGAAGTCCGCGGACGCACTCCCCTTCACTTGCTGCTGCTGCTGCTGCTGCTGCTGCTGCAGCTGCTGCTGCTGCTGCTGCTGCTGCTGTGTTGCACTGGTTTCTGCTGCACTAGATACAGAGAAAGGAATGAATGTGGGGGGCGGTATTTCATCGACAGAGAGGAGACAAGGGTCCCTTAAAATAGGTAAATTAAAAGCAGAGAGAATTTGTTCTATATGCGCATCTGCATGCGTTTTGTTTTCTTTCTTGCTGCTGCCACCACCACCACCAGCAGCAGCAGCAGCAGCAGGAGCTGCTGCTGCTGCTGCTGCTGCTGCTGCTGCTGCTTCGGACTGAGAAAAAGGAGGAAGAGAACCAAAGAAAGGATCTATAAACTCCGAAAGTGCTGCTGCTGCTTCTTCTGCTGCTTTGCTGCTGTGTATTTCCCGCAGCAACAAACGAGTCAACGGAACGGATAAACGCCTACACACACATAAAAATTTATATATATAAATATAAATATAAATATATATATATAAATATAAATATAAATATAAATGAATAAATAAATATAGAGATATATATGTATGCATACATGAACACGCACACAGATATATTCATATAAAAGTATAAATATACATACATACGATTTTATAT